TAAAACAAGGACTATGATTAATCGTCCAAAGGTCCCATGGTTTAATGATGACATTAAACAACTCAAGCGTCAACGTCGTCGCCTTGAAAAGAGAGCCGTGAAAACTGACCTCCCTGGTGACTGGAATAATTACCATAAAGTTCGTAATCAGTACTCTGCATTTGTTAAATCTGCACGTGTGAATTATTATTCAAACCTAATTGATCAGTGTGCAGGTGACGCTTGCAAGTTATTTCGTGTAGTTAATTCTTTGTGTAGGGAACCACTTGAGACGGCTCTTCCAGAGCACAAAGCTAGCAAACGAATGTGGCACCTTCTTCCTCAAAAAAACTAAAATCATAAAGGAAAATCTTGACAAGTTTCAAGTTCAAGAACCTCGACTCATTCGTGTTACTTCTAAGGAGAATCTGGAGAGTTTTTCCGCGCTATCCATCGAAGAAGTGTCTAAGATTGTTCGAGAATCCTCCGATGCCTCTTGTTGGCTGGATCCTGTTCCTACATGGTTACTGAAGTCCTTTCCTGATGTATTAGCGCCCCCTATCACTGAGATGGTAAATCTCTCTCTTCTCAATGGTCACGTTCCAGAAAATTGGAGAACCGCCGTTGTCTTTCCTCTACTGAAAAAACCTGGACTTGATTTGGTCTATAAAAATTTCCGTCTAGTCAGTAATCTTCCATTCATTTCCAAGGTAGTGGAAAAGGCTTCACTTCAAGAACTTCTCGTCCACCGTGAAAAAAATTCCCCTCTCCCTAAATTCCAGTCCCGCTTCTCTAAGTATCACTCGACAGAAACTGCTCTATTAAAGGTTCAAAACGACATCTTAATGAGTAGGGATAATAAAGCAGTGACACTACTCGTACTTTTGGACCTTAGTGCTGCTTTTGACACCATTGAACGTTCCATTCTTCTGAATATCTTGCAACAGGATTTTGAAGTCCTCGGGACTGCTTTAAATTGGTTCGACTCATTTCTGTCCGGTCGCAAACAACGTATACTTGTTGGTGATAAGACTTCTGATGACTTTAATATGAACTGTGGAGTCCCCTAGGGTAGTTGTATGGGGCCTATTTTATTCATTCTCTACGTCTCCCGCCTCTTCAACATTATTTCTCAGCATCTCCCTTCCGTCCATGGTTATGCTGACGACACCGAGATTTATCTGTCCTCCCGACCTTGCTGTATCCATTCCGAAATTAACGCTGTCTCTGCGATTGAGATGTGCATTGCTGATGTTCGTTCTTGGTTTATTGCTAATCGTTTAATGATCAACGACGCAAAAACTGAGTTTCTAATTATTGGCACCCGCCAACAACTTGAAAAAACATCTATTGAATCTATTATTATTGGTGAAAAGGAACGTTGGGTCCTGATTCGATGCCTATATGCGAATGAACGTTCATATAGGCAAGATTTGTAGCAAGGCTTTTCGCGGATTATACAACATAAGACAGATCAGAAAATTCCTTACTGTTCAATCGAGTAAGACACCAGTCCACTTTATATCCTCACACCTTGATTACTGTAACACATTTCTCTTCGGTCTACCTAAATATCAACTCGATCGCTTACAGAAAGTTCAGAATGCTGCGGCTAGAGTGATTTTTCAGATTTCAAAATTAGAGCATATTACACCTGCACTTATCGACCTACATTGGCTCCCAGTAACGTTCAGAGTTCAGTTTAAATTGCTCCTCTTTGTTTACAAGTCGTTACGCAACCAAAGTCCTCCCTACATTAAAGATCTTTCGTCCCTGAAACCAGCTACTAATTATGCTCTTCGCTCGCCTGTTCAATCTCTTCTGTTCGTTCCAAAAGCCAACTGCTTTTCACTTGGGGATCGGGCCTTTGCTCATGCTGCACCTGTTTTATGGAACTCGCTGCCATTAACTATAAGAACAAGTAATAGCCTCGCCAATTTTTAAAAGCAACTTAAAACATTTCTATTTAGGATTTGAATATTGTGTATAGTTTTAGCGCTATATAAATTCCTTATCATTATCATTATCATTAACCTTGAAGATCAATCAGGTGCAAAGGTGCAGGTAATAAAAAGTATGTTGATACCATTGCAAACAGTAGTCTGAACGGTTCTGACACTTTACCAGGTGATATTAATATGAATAATAACCGTATCAAGAATGTACGTACACCCACTTCAAATACTGATGTGTCGTTAATAACGCATTTTGTGGTGCAACATACAGGACAAAAAGTGGTAATAACCAATTATTGAGATTAGGAAGTGATAACAGATGGGATGCAGATGGTAGGACCATTTATGAGCTGAGTAGAGCACAATATGATGATGAAGATGTAACCTTGGGGCAGATGAAAGATACCACAGATAAGAAAACATATATGAACAATCTGTTACCCCAAATATTGAAAATCAGGCTATTAATACCAGATTATCACAGCAGTAATAACAATGATAAGGATGCGGTTAATAAGAAGTATGTCGATAGTAAAACCTTTATTCTGGACGTATCAGAAGGTCTT